GGTTTCGGATAGGTTTATAAGTTTCTAGTTCACATTTATCATTATATATGTTGTGTAATTAAAGGATTTATGTGGGGCTTCTGTGTGTGCAATCCCAAGATTGAAGTGAAATGGAATGGGACATTGGTACTCTGCGGAAATGTAGTGTTCATTACAAGCAAGACAATTGAAGCATTAAGAGGAAGTGTATAAATCTTCTATTTTCAATGGAGTATAAATTTGTGAGCAGTACTTTAGATAAGTTTGTTTGACATGAAATTTTTCCTTTTCGTATCCTTGATGTTATCAACTAAGAGTAGAGCAGCATGGTTGGTGCATGTTGCGCCACATATTGCATAATGCGCCTGTTTATTTTTCCATGCAGAATTGCCTTTGGACTTACTAAAGATTGCCAAGAAGGTGTACTCACTCTTGTTGAAGTAGATTTTAGTGCATGGTACAACTGCTGAAAAAAGCACCTCTTTGGGTCATATAGAAAGGACTTCCGTATAGTTGGGCATTGAAACTGAAAACCTTGATCCCTTCATTCTGCTTTAGTGAGAGTGTGTTGTGTTAAACAACAGGTTTGGGTAATAAAAATGGTAAGTGTTGGCGTGGTCTTTTATGATTTGTCCTTCCTATTGAGCTTGAAGGTGATGTCTTCATCAGCAAAGATCCAACATAGGAGGGGAAAATGTTTAAAAGGATATGTCTATATGTACAATGCTAGGAGTTTTGCTTGTTGTGGCTAGATATTCTTGTTGTATATACTAGGGTAGAATGAGATCAAATAACTAATAGTTGAGGATATTGAAGTAAAGACAGTTGTTTCATCCCTGGGCAAATTACGTTCCTTGTAGAAGGGAAAAGGACGTTGAACATTTAGTTTTATTTGATAACTTCCCTCATCAACATAGTTGACAAATCTTGTAATTGTTACAGTGTTGTGAAGTAGACCCCAAAAGATTTATGGCGTTTCATATAATTTACTTTGTGTTGCTATTTGTTTCTTTTGAAGGGGAAGAGGGGAACAAATGATCTCTGGGAAGGTCGTAATCTAGAATGGCATTAATAGCATCTGGTCTGATGTTAACTGTTGGTTGATGTCTGAGTGGTGGCAGTTTGTTAGGAAAGAGCAAATGCCTTTTTGCCAAAGATGAGCAAATATGTTGAGAGTTTTATTTATTACTATATATATTCCAAAAGAATATTATTGTTTAGAGTACCAAGATTCAAAACATTTTATTTGGCAACTGAATTCCAACATAACTTGTATTGGGAAGATTATAATTTAAGGAAAAGGTATGGTAGTTGATTCTCAAAATAAATAATAAGAATCTCCTTTAAGTAAATATCAGTTTTTTTCATTCTTTAAATGCCATATTATTTGTTCTTGAACACAATTTTTTTTGTGACGATGTAAGTAGAGTCAAATTTAAGGAAAAACGGGGAGCGACAAATCTGCACCTTTTCTTTTTCCTGCATTGCCTTTTGGTATTGGGGCAATCGTCCTTTACAATTTCAAAACCTCATAATAAAGGTCCAATATTAAAGGAGCAAGTGAGGTCATTATCTTACATTTATTATGGGCACAATGTCAACTTTTTTTTAAGAGGTTATAGTGAAAATTAGCGGTCTTTTTTAAATAAATAAATATGTATGGAGTCTATGTATGGAGTCTTGTATGTGTATTTCTTTTGGTTTACACACCATTTCAGAGTTCTCGGGATGTGTGTACCATCATGACCTTGACTTTTGGGTCTTGACACGTTGAGAAATAGAAGTTAAAAGTGTTGTAAGGCATGTGAAAGAAGTACACTCGAACCACATTAATGACTAAAAGGTATAAAATATTTATAATTATTTATGAAAAACTAAAATCATATGTTCAAAAAATTATATAATTTAGTTGTTTGATTATTTTTAGGATTTTTCTTAGTGAAATTCAAAACCAAATCAATATTGTCACCAAACCAAATGTCGTTTGATTTTTCACCCAACCGTGAACACCCCTACGGCTAGGGGTGTGCAAAAACCGAACCGACCGATAAACCGAACCGAAAAAAGTATTATTGGTTTATTGTTATTGGGTTATTGGGATAACGGTTATTTAATGGTTTTACAAAAAAATTTATTGGGTTATCGGTTCGTTATTGGTTTTTAATATTGGGTTATTGGGTTAACCGATAACCCATTAAGAATATAATAATTTACTATTTTAATTTTTAGTTATACATATATATAATATATTAAAAAA